GGGTCGGGTCGTGACCGGTCAAACCGGTCAAACCCTTAAGAAAACCGGTTGAACCGGTCACTCACTCGCCCTACGGCGGCGCGTGTGGCGTGTGAGGTGTCCTCCGGGGCTCTAAAAATTACGGAAAAATTTCTAAAAATTATTTTGAGCGTTTTCGAGATACTTACAAAGCTCGGTTCAAATTTTTGAACGTCGGAGAGCTCGAATTCATCAAATCGGGAAGTTTGACCGGTTCACCTCCCCACGCGCCGCTGCCGCCGGAGAAAAAGGGGAACACCGGTGGACTCGGAACGGCACAAGGAACACGATGGTGCGGGAGGTGTCGTAAACGGAGCAACGATCAGCGGTGAATTTAAGATTTTCTCGGCGATAGAGCTAACAAAACCGTCGCTACTTTGACTGGAAATTCCCGACTCTTGGCCGCGTTTCGCTTCAATTAATTTGAAGGGTTTGTTCCTCGCTCGATGATGAACACAACGGTGGTTTCAAAACAACGATCGGAATTCGGACGGCGTCGGAATCGAGTTTGGAAGTTGTGTGCGTGAGGAAGGATTTGTGAAATTGATTTCTGTTTTTCAAAACAGAAATCACGCATATAACAATTGCCTGCCGACACTCCAAGGTTAAATTCAGGGCTTGGTCCCTGAATTTTCTTTAATTTTAAAACAAGCTCCAAGTTTTAAAATCTTTCAATTCAGTCCCAAATTTTCACCAAATTTTCACAATTAAACCCTCAAATTTCAATTAAATATTATTTTGAAAATCAGGTTGTTACAGCACCGATGCACTGAGAGTCCAACGGTCAAAATATTTGAATTTTACACTGATGCACCGATGCACCTAGGGTATGCATCGATGCACTGACGCTCCCAACTGCTTTAATTAATTGTTTTCACACTTAAACGGCTCTATTGACTCCACTAATCATCCCCAACGTTCATAATCATTTGAAGGTGTATTTAAACAAGCTTAGAAGCCATTGATCAAAAACAAGAAACAACAAGCAACTAGAATCAAGAGAATCAAAGAGAAAGCATCAAACCTCAAGTTTGAGCATTTCAAGATTTTTTCATTCAATATTCATTTTGCTTTCAAGAACACTACTTGTATCATTGTGTTCATTCTTGAGTATTCTTTCTTTGTTCTAGAATTGTGCAAACAATTTACCTTGTGAGGATTTCCTTGTAAGTTTGCAAATTTGTAATATTTCTTTGAAAGAGTGTTCTCAAGAATTGGGGTTATTCTTGAGGGTGTTGTAAGGTTATCTCTTTGGCCTCAAAAGAAATAACAAATTAGTAAATTTGTTGGAAAATCCTTAGTGTGGATAGCTAAGGTAGTGGACGTAGACTTTGGTTGAGAAAGTCGAACCACTCTAAATCGTTGTGCAAATCTTTTCAATTTTCTGCAAAAGCTTCCACCGAAATTTTTAATTGCCAATTCTCCCCCCTCTTGGCGATTCTTCGATCGATTAACTCAACAGAGTGAAACTCAACTTGACTCAAAAAAATTAAATTTTTCGACTCAACTTGACTAGTAATTTCATAAACTCAATTCGTCTTAAAAAATTCAAATAGAGTTTAAGTTATAAAATATGAGTTGAATAACTCAATAACTCGATATTGTTAACAATTAGTGGATTAATCTTAAGTTCAAGTCGAGTCTCTCAACTATGCATGATAAATGTATATTACATATGAAAAAAATGAATAAGTATATATGTATATAGTATATGGTTATAGAAAGTTATTTAAGTTGAAATCAATTAGTACCATAACATTATCAAAATTTTAATTAAATTTAAACAGAAACTTGAACAACTCGACACGATTCAAATTTCATAAACTTAAATCGACTAATTTTTTTCATAAACTCTAAAATACTATTATAATATTTTAAAATATTTATAGGTTTATTAATCTTGGGTAAATATATGGTAATATTTTTTTTCAAAGATAACTCTCAATCATTTGACATTGAACTCACACCCCTGACATTCATGGTGTTGAACTCGAGACCTAAAGGAATAACAACAATTCATTTACCACCGAAATTGCTTGGTTCGTACTACTTTTTCTTTTAATGAAAATAATATTTATAACATAAATTATTAACTTATTTTAATTTATACTTTTAAATTAAAATTATTGTTATTTATTATCATATAATATGTAAATTGGACCTTTATAATGTTGTCTAGGCCAAATATATTCATAAACCCTAATAGAAGAATTGTTGAAGATGCATACTTAGGGAAGTGTTATATTCAAAACCATTAAGTCTCTTAATACTATTTTTTAACTTACAAGACTTAAATTTAAAATATTACTTTATAATAATTCTAAATCATAATTTTATACCACCATAGTAATTCATATATCATCAATACTTATATAAAATATTATGATTAGAATAATTGAGACTTACGAATTTTGCATTTAAGTATAACTAGAAAATATCGTAAGTTATTCATATCAATATACACATCGAATCATATTTTAAGTCACTTTATATACTAGATTATTATATATAAGGGTTTGTGAATAGTCCTTAGACTTATTCGAAATATATAATTAGATGTATGTATTGACATAAAAAGTTTACTATGTTTCCTAATTACATTTAGATATGAAATTCGTAATTCTCGACTAATCCAGTAGGAATATTTTATATAAGTATTAATGATATCACTATATGTTATATGTATATACTATGTATAATATATATATTTTAATATTTTTAATAATTTATAATGTATGATTTTATACCTTGTGATATATTTTTTTAGTTTTTAATACATTTTTAAAACTTGTAGTAAATAATTCTTTATTCTTAGTAATTTATATTTAATTTTTTAAAATTTAAAATTTTGAATAATTTTTATTTTTCTAAAAAAAATAAATAAGCTCTTAACTTTTTTAATAAAAAACTAATTTAACAATTGAAATCGACCAAAATAAACTAATTCAATCTATCTACCACATGAACTGCCACCATGAACTGTCACGTTAGTACCATAAATTATTATGTCAACATCACAACGGTCAACGATGGAAACTATTGGTAAAAAGATCACATTTAGAGTTTTTTTCCCTCTAAATTTGAGGGATATATTGAGTACACAAATAGTTTAAGGGCCACCGTGACTTATTTGGATAAAATTTAAAGGCCTCAAATACTATTAAACCAAAAAATTATAAATTTATAAATTATAAAATAAGCACACATTCGATAGCAAAGCAAGGCTGAAACTGTAATTTGATTAAAAAAATCACTTGAAATTTTTAAAAGTATACTTCAAACACATTTAAATTTATACATATTTGCGATAAATTTTAAAAACAATGTCATTTTGCGAGGATAATTTATGGAATAGTCTCCTAAATTATTAAAGTATGATTTCATATATCATTCGAATAAGAAGATATTCTTTTTAATATTAAAATGAATTTTAATATTTTTTTACTAAAATTATATTAATTTTCAAAGCTCTAAATTTAATATACTTATTTATTAGTTAACACCATGCATCATTAACATTAGTATTTTCACTTATTTTATACATTTATATTTATTATAATCATTCATGGTATTTAATAATTATGGTTTCTTTGCATATTTGGTTTTACTAAAAAAAATATCAAGCTAATGTTCTTTTATTAGATGATTAACGAGATAATTTCCAAAATAATTAGAGTTCGATCTTTATTAAATTTTTCGAAGTAGAATATCATTTTTAAAGAAAAGAGATCGAATGAATTATATTGTTTAGTTTTAAAAAAGGAAACAATCAAGATTTTTTTTTATAAAATTCACTCATTTAAATTAATTTCAATTTATAAAAGATCGTAAAAATTTAAGAAGAGTTTAGAAAACTCATATATAAATATAAAATATAATTCTTAAAATATTTTCAAAATTTTAATATATTCATATCCGATAATGTGAGTGCCGATGATTATTAGGGGAACAATGTCATTGATGGTTGTAACTGCAGCACTCAAGTTTAGACAATGATGCTTCTGAAGACAAAAGCAACAATGCATTAAATGATGGGTAGTTTGTGCAACGGTTTAATCTAAAATTATTTATCAAGAATTTTAAATTTAAGATATTATTTGATCTAACTTAAAAAATTATACAATTTGTAATAATTTCAAGATATAATGTGAAAGATAGTCTCAATTTTATCAAAACGGTCATTTTAACTCGTATTCTTTTTTAGAGCATTTTGATTTCTCATGTTTCACTTTAAGACAAAAAGTTTTCTCTAGAGATGAAAATCATTAGTTAAAACACAATTAATGTTCTAAAATATGAGTCTTTTGTAACTTGAAATGAAACGATAAGGACTAAAATACCAAAAAAAAAAAAAGAATAAGGAACAAGGTATTATTTATCAAATGTTAGGAGTCTTTTTGTCTTAAAATGAAATTTTAGTGGTCAAAACGCTCCAAAAAAAATAGAATATGGATAAAATGACTATTTAGTAAATGATAGGAGGTAATTTTGACATTATGCCTAACTTCAGTTGCAACTAAGAATGTTACATTACGATGAATTTTAACATAAAATGTTGCTTCTCTATTCCAAACTCAAAAAATTTACATAATTAGTAATAATTTCGGGAGAATATCGTAGTGGTAACTTTTTAAGTTGCAACCGGAATAATTATACAAGATTTGTTGTGAAAAACATAATATTTTCAATTTCAACATAATATGTTACCCAAATTACTATAAAGAGTTTCGTCCTCGGTAAGTTTTTCGATTACAACTGATTTCTAATCTTTTAACAGATTATATTTTAGATTCATCCGTTAACTACACATACGAAGCTGAGATGACAAAACACTCGAGAACTGAAATATAGAGAAAAACATAGCCAATCAAGAGAATGGAAACACTTTTAAATCAAATCACACAACTTTTCTTTCTATGATCACAAAAATGTAAAAACTTTAGCTGCAATTTTATAGCAGCAAACTAAAAACACTCTCCAGATTTGGAGATAGTCCCGTATTTACAGTATGACAAAACAGCTTTCAGTCAAAGGTTGCTGGATTGTATATGATCATGGCACTGTATAAGAGTGAAAAACTAGACCTAAAAAAACAAAACCAACCAAAAAAACAGCAGCGAGAATCATGTAAAGATTCGAGGACGATGACTCTAACATGCGGTGAGGAACGAATCTCGAGCGTGATGTCGATATTCAGCTCACCTTCTCTAATTTGCTTTAACTTCAGTGTTCAACCTGTGGAGTTTTTTTTTCTTCTTTTTCATTTTTTTATGGAATATCAGCGATGATGTGACTAAATGGGCTTGCTTCTTTGCCTTCCATTGCTTTCATTGAATCTCGGGGCTGCAACAAATGCGAAACAGGATTTAGAAACCGAAGAACAGAACCGAAAATGGAATCGAGAATCTTTTGCTATGTTTTACTTATACATACCAAGTCCATTAGCCTCAGAGGTCCTCATGATTCGAAGCCTTCGAACTGAGCTGACAAACATCCTGAAACATCACAAGAAACCAACGCATACTATAAGCATCATTAGCATGGAAATCAACAATCGAATCGAACTACTTCCAATTCATTTTCTGGCTGCTGCTGTTGGTTTTGATTAAACTTAAGTGTACCAATCAACTTCATATCTATATGAATGGACAATTACAATTAGCTAAAGCAAGAATTACATTCATTCATATTTCATACCTCCATGGGACATCTCCTACAAGCATCCAGTCCCCCTCTTTGTCTTCATAAGTCAAAACAAATTCAGATGATCCATCCAAAAGCTTAGAAGCCATTGTTGATGGTTCCTTCTCTGCACCGGTAAAACCGGGTTTAATCGCATTAGCATCTTAATACAAAGCAGAGAAGAGCACTATAACAGAACTAAAGATGAATTACCAACTGAATTAGCAGATCTAAGGAACATATCTTCAAGTTCCTGAGCCAAGCTCTCATAGGAAGAATGAGAATTCAAATTAACTTTCCTTCCTATTGGAATCCCGTCCATATTCACCTTAACAAACCCAAGATGGCCTTTCTCATTAACAGTTGAACTGATTTGTTTACCATTGTAATTGTGTTTCTTCTTCAAATCATCTTTGGGTTTATCTTCTTCATCACCTCTCTGTGCCTTTGCTTGGTTCACCAAGCTGTTCACCCTATAAGCTCTTATGGGTGGCCACCCCACAACTTGGCTGCTTGCAATATCAAGCATTAAAATGAACAATATTAATACTAGAAAGAATTTCTTCAAACATGTTATAGGCATAACAGATATTGATAAAACAAGTGGTACCTGACAGCAGTAGGGGAACCACTGTCATGGGACACAGACTCAGCAGATCTCTTGGTCCCAGAAACAGCAACAGAAGAAGGACCGCCATTGTTTGTTCTTTGAGAAACAACTGAAGAAGGGAAGTCCTTTGCAGTCAAGATTCTGCCACACTCTCCCCATGAAGAATTAGAAGCCTTGGTCTTCCCTGTAGAACAGCCGCCGCCACCAAGGCTCAGCCCCAAGCCCAACTCCAACTCACTCTCAGCCTCAGAAACAACCTCCACTTTAGACAACACCGCAGATTCATTTGTCGAAACCCCAGAAGAACTACCACCGTTACCGCCACCGCCACCGCCAAGTAAAACTAACCCACCTTCCATCACTAAACAAGGAAAGAAACCCAAAGTTCAAGACTGGTTACAAGTGAAGAAAAAACAGAATCTTTAGCTAGTTTTAACAGAGCAAAATGGAAGAAACAAGGCTTTTCTTTTCCTTGAGGGGGTATAGGAGAGGGCAAAAAGAAGGGTCTAGGGAAGGTGGATGAAGTGATGATGTGGGGCCCATATGTCTGGTAGTGCGCCTAGCACCTCTCACCGGAAACCACTTTCTTTACTTTAGGAAAAAGAAGAAGAAAAAGACATGGTTTTTTCCCTAGACATGATCATGTCTCTTTAGAATCTAGTTTTCCTGATGTTTGTTGAAAAATATAGAGGCAAAAGAGAGAAAAAAAGAAGAAGAAGAAACTGTTGCTGTGGAGCCCAGAGTGAGGGATATGGCGTATTTACTTAACTGATACCTTTTATCAGTAATATTTTTTTTAACATATGTTGATTAATATTTTTTGAAGTAGTATCTTTTCGCTAACGTGGAGCAAAGATGCATTTTCGATGACGTGTTTTTACGAGATTCTGATGACTCGGATGTCACGTGTGGAAGGCGCATCCCCGAAGACGCGTCTTCTATTTGGGTTCTGCTGAGTCATATGCCACGTTGATATTTCTTTTAATAATAAAGATTTTATTTTTATTTTTATTATAAATAATTAATAGAGAAAATAAATTCAGTGATCAAAAATCCCAGATAATATACGATTTTGACCAATTTTTTTTGGATTTGCGAAAATGACCAACAAAATCGCAATGTGATCCTCTAATTCGCATTGCGATCTCCACTATCGCAAATTCGCGTTGCGATAATTGAAAATTGCGTTGCGATAGTTGAAAATCGCGTTGCGATTTTCCATTTCGCGTTGCGATAGTTGAAAATCGCGTTGCGATTTTCCAGTTCGCGTTGCGATAGTCTACAGTTGTCGTTGCGATTTTCCAAATTCGTTGTGATAGTAAAAAAAAGATTTTGTTTCTTAAAAATTTTCTCTAAAAAGATAGTATCCACGCGGACGTGTCGAAGACACGTATTACCACGACCACGACCACGACCACGACCACGACCACGACCACGACCACGACCCCGACCACGACCCGACCCGACCCGACCCGAGACGGACGGCGGCGTGCGAGAGTCCCTTTTGTTCTCTATCACTCAACAAGAAAGTGGGAAAGCCAAGCCTTAAATACCATTCCCAATAGTGTTTCCAATACTATGTGGGATTTGAGCATTACCAACACTTGTTCCCAATACTATGTGGGATTGAGCCTTAAATAGTGATATTATTTTTGAATGTTTTGCTTAAAATTGTAATAATCGCGATTGATTGTAGATTGACTTTTAATTATGACATATTTAATCGTATAATACTAATGCAATTGGTTGCTGATTCAGTTATTTTAAGGTGCATGATTGTTAATTGTTTCCTGAATAATCACATTGTATTGGAAACAAGTGTTGGTAATGCTCAATCCCACATAGTATTGGAAACACTATTGAGAATGATATTTAAGGTTTGGTTTTCCCACTTCCTTGTTGAGTGATAGAGAACAAGGGGGACTCTCGCGCGCCGCCGCCGCCGCCGTCTCATCTCAGGTCGTGGTCGTGGTCGTGGTCGTGGTAATACGTGTCTTCGACACGTCCGCGCGGATACTATATTTTTAGAGAAAATTCTTAAGAAACAAAATCTTTTTTTTTTTAACTATCGCAACGAATTTGGAAAATCGCAACGACAACCGTAGACTTTCGCAACGAATTTGAAAAAATCGCAACAACATTGTAGACTATCGCAACGCGAAATGGAAAATCGCAACGCGAAATGCAACGCGAATTTACAATAGTGGAGATCGCAATGCGAATTAAAGATCGCATTGCGATTTTGTTGGTCATTTTCGCAAATTCAAAAAAAGTTGGTCAAAATCGTATATTATCTGGGATTTTTGGTCACTGAGGTTATTTTCTCTAATTAATATGTTATGTAAAGTGTTTTTTATTATCGATCTATTAATTTTATCAGTTAATTATTTAAATGTTATCAATCTAGTCATTTGTTATCAATATTTAAATAAAATATTGATGCATAAGTTAATAAAATTAGTATAATTACACATTTAATCTTCAATAGTTACATATTTTATCAAATTAGTTTTACTTTTAATTTGTTGGAGAATTTGAGTTATATAAGAGAGGAGAAGATGATTTTGGTATGAAAAATGAGGGAGGGGTGATGGGGTTTATATAGGGGAGGAGGAGGGATAGTTGGGGAAAAACGGATGGGGCATTTATGACATTTAATAGAAGGCGCGTCCTCGGGGATGCGCCTTCCACACGTGGCATCCAAGTCACAGAATCTCGGGAAAGCGCGTCCCCGGGGATACGCCTTTGCGCCACGTCAGCCAAATGATGCTACTTCGAGAAATATTGATCAACGGGTATTAAAAAGAGAATATTATAGACAAAATGTGTCAATTAAGTAAATACGCCTAATAAAAGTAACAAAGTTTAAGAATGTCAGATGTTTTTGGTCTGATTGTCGACATTCCAGCTCTTCTGGGTGTGAATGTGAACTGTCGTTTTTCTTTTCTTTTACTATTTTTTAGAAAATTATCCGTAATTTTATTCTCTTTTATTTTACTCACTTAAATTTAAAAGTTTTTAATTTTTTCATTAAATTTTTGAATTTTTTTGTCACTCCATCTTTAAATAGTTTACGACATTAAAATGATGTTTTTTTTTAAAAAATTTAAAAATTTACCAAAATGACATTGTTTTGTATTTATGTAACAATCCATTTATAAAGCCGTTAGTGAGAAATCGATTGAGTGATAAAAAACTCAATATATTAAATTCAGTGAAAAAATTAAAAAAAATTTAAAATACAATAAGTGAAATTGAAAAGAGAGTAAAATTTAGTTATCAAATTTGTAATTTACCCTTTTTTAAGTTCGAAGTATGTTACATTTATTCTACTGTTTAGTATTCCCCCCACCGTATCTGAATTTCTTTCTTTCTTTTTAATATGTTTTACCATGTTAAAAATAAAAAGTATATAAACGGTATTTTAATTATAAGGTATTATTTTATTTAGTTCTTCCATGTTAAAAAGTTATAAAGTGGTTTTTTTATTATAAGGCATAACTGCGTTGATTTTTTTAATTATTAAAAGCTATAAAATAGTCGTCAAATTATTTTACGTTTTAAACTCGTTCTTTTTTGCTAAAAAATTGGCGGTTGTTTGAGTTAGATGTTAACTTGTTGACAGTGATATAATAAAATTTGATTTTAGAATCGTTTGAGTTGTATTTTGTGGATCAACTATTTGTTTATATTATATCGTCGAGTCAGTACTTGAAAGCAACGTCAGTGCCAATAGACATCATTAAAATTTGATTTTATTATATCTTAGTCAACAAGTTAACGTCCAACTCAGACGATTGTCAATATTTTAACAAAAAGGACAAGTTTTGGAACATATGAATAGTCAAATGGTCCTTTTGTAACTTTTAATAGTCAAGGGACTCAACAAAGCAACGCCCAATAGTCGAGGGACCATTTGTATACTTTACTCTATTACATAGTTTTTGTTTTGGTCAAATATATTTTTCAAAATTATATCTAATGTTATGTTTTGATTTTGTTTTGATCATTCAAAAAATTACTAGTGATGTTGATGTGATATTTTTTTAATTACTTTTCAATGTTAACATGACATTTCTTTATAGAGACATGTTACAATTACTAACAATTTTTTTAACGACAAGTGATTAAAATATAAACAAAGCGTATCATTAGGTGTGGTTTTAAGAAAAATAATAGTTAAGTGATTAAAACATAAACTAAACAATATGTGGGTGACCAAATATATAATTTACCCTATAGATATATTAATATGTTTGCACCAAGAATGTTTCACTCATACTAAAAACATTAATTATATAAATTATAATAAAATTGACTTGAAACAAAAAATTATGAGTTTAATTGAATTGATTTTAAGATTAAAATTTTAAATTTAATTAATAAAGTAAAAAATCAAATCTAAAATGTCAATGAGTGTTGATACAAGTTATTATGATTAAGAAATTTGAGCTTGTGAGACCAAGTTTGAATCCTACCACCGTCACTCTTGGTAGGTAATTTGTAAATTCTTATGTAAATTTCAATTGGGTCTTAAGTATACCATGACTCTGGACTAGAAGAGCCACCCTTGAACTAAACTTTTTTTTTACCAAAAAAATAATAATAATCAAATCCAAACCTTGTTTATTATATTATTAAAAAAACGCATGATATATACATACTTTCTTCTACCGACAAAATATATTAAGAACATCCTTTAATTTCAGTTAAAGGTTTGCTTTTTTGTCTCCAGTAAATCTTTATAATTTTAAAAGTATTTCAAGGATAAATTATGTTTATTTAATTTGTTAATTAAAAATAGAGTTAGAATCCACTTATATAATGTAATATTCTATTAATTTTATACTGATTTAGGATTGTTAGATGAGTGTGAATAGATTGATGAGATTAATTTTTTTTTGGTAGTGAATATTTCTACTGTTAATCTCAGTTGTCTATTTTCAGTCATCCAACAATCCTAAATATATGTAAAATTAAAGAAGTTTTACACTATATAATTAGGGATGATAATTTAACTCGAAATTGATAGATTCTAAGCTGATCCGATCCAATAGGATTGTTTTTTTTATAAAAAAAAATTCAGGTTCGGGCCTGCTCATGTCGACTTTTGTAAAAAATAGTGAAGTCGAGTCGAGTTTAGGTGGAGGGTAAAAAAATTGACCTGACCCAAGGGTAATAGTATAATTTCTTCAAATAAATTTATGGATAATTACTATAATACCCTATCTCTCCATTTTTTTAATTAAGTCTTTATTTTATATCGGGTAAGATTAGATTTATACTCTAAAAAATCGGGTCGGAGTCGAGTGGAGGATATATTTTTTCAGATCGAATCGGGTCGGTTGGAAGATATATATTTTCGAACAAGGTTAGGTAGAGAGTATACATTTTCCAGGTCGAATCCGATTCGAGTGAAGTGTATATTTTTTGATTCATGTCGGATTAATAAAAAACTTGACTGAACTC